TAAAAGAATTTAATTTAATATTTCTACTTTTTGCATTTGGTTGAGGTTTTTATGCCCTGATACTTAAATCAGTTTTTGTAAAGGTGCCTTGTACAGCTAAGAACAAGGTACACTCCTTTCTGTTCCTATTCAGTTTTCTCCAGAGGTGTATCATATTTTATTCATCCCTTTCAATTCTTGTTTATCTAGCTCTGAGAGAGGAAAGATGAGGTCCCTCGTTAGTATAATTTTATTCTCTATTTCCTCCTGTAATTCATTTAACTTTTCCTTTAAAAATCTGGATGCTATGTCATTTGGTGCGTATATTTTTAGTATTGCTAAATCAAAGAAAAATGAAAAGCAGCTAGGTGGATAGGGTACTGGCCCTGAAGTAAGGAAGACCCGAGTTCAAATCCAGTCTCAGACACTTACTAGCTGCGTGACCTTGGGAAAGTCACTTAATCCCAATTGCTTCCACCAAAAAAAAAAAAAAAGAAAACAAACAAGGGAAAAGGACCTATATGTATAAAAATATCTATAGTAGCTCTTTTTGTGGTGGCAAAGAATTGAAAATCGAGAGGATGCCCATTAATTGGGAATGGCTGAACAAACAAGCTGTGGTATAAAATTGTGAAAGAATACTATTGTGCTGTAAAAAATGATGGGAATAATTTTAGAAAAGGCTGGGAAGGCTTATATGAACCAATTCAAAGTGAAATGAGAAGAACCAGAAGAACACTGTACACAGTAACAGCAATATTGTATGGATGATCAACTGTGAAAGACTTTGCTACTCTCACCAAGACAATTCCAAAGGACTCATGACAAAAAATGCTATCCACTTCTAGAAAGAGAACTGATGAACTCTGAGTACAGATTGAAGCATTCTTTTTTTACTTTATTTTTCTTGTTTGTCTGGTGTGTGCATTTTCCTTTGCAATGTGGCTAATATGGAAATATGTTTTGCATGACTTCACATGTATAATGAATATGATGTTACTTGCCACTTAGGGTGTGTGTGGGGCTAGAGTGAGGGAGAGAATCTGGAACTCAAATTTTTTTTTTAATCTTTATTTTTTTAAAAGATTTTTTTAATCAATTAATTTATTTTTAGTTTTCAACATTCATTTCCACAAGATTTTGAGTTCCAAATTTTCTCCCCATCTCTCCCCTCCTACCACCCCAAGGTGGTGTGCATTCTGAATATCCTTTCCCTGAATATCCTTTCCCACAATCTGCCCTTCCTTTTATCACCTGTCCCCCCTTAATCCTTTCCTCTTCTATTTTCCTGTAGGGCAGGATAGATTTCTATGCCCCTCTGCCTGTATGTCTTATTTCTCAGTTGTATGGAAAAACAATTTTTAACATTCATTTTTAAAATTTTGAGTTCCAAATTCTCTCCCTTCCTCCGTCCCCACTCATCCTCATTGAGAAGGCAAGCAATTCGACATTGGTTATGCATGGGGAATCATGCAAAACACTTCCATAATAGTCATGTTGGGAAAGACTAACTATATTTCCCTCCACCCTATCCTGCCCCCTGTTTATTCTATTCTCTCTTTTGACCCTGTCCCTCCTCAGAAGTATTTGCTTCTGATTACCCTCTCCCTGAATCGGCCCTCCTGTCTATGATCCCCCAGCTCTCTTATCCCCTTCCCCCCTATTTACAATAGGATAAGATAAATTTCCATACCCAATTGAGTGTGTATGTTATTCCCTCCCTAAGCCAAATATGATGAGAATAAGATTCACATTCCCTCTCACCTCTCCCCTCTTCCTCTCCACTGCAAAAGCTTTTTCTTTCTTCTTTTATGTGAGATAATTTACCCCATTTTACCTCTCCCTTTCTCCTTCTCCCAGTACAATTCTCTCACCCCTTAATTTTATTTTTTAGATATCACCCCTTCATATTCAACTAACCCTGTGTCCTCTGTCTATATATATGTTTCCTCCAACTACCCTAATACTGAGAAAGGTCTCATGAGTTACAAATATC